TTTCAACCCAGTATTCAGCAGAAAACACAACAACTGTCATTGAACCATGAATCCATGTTTCACTCTAACTACGTTTAGTAAAAGATATAGATATGACACATACCATCATGTTTTAGACTTTAGAACCACAGACACATGTTCAGTATAAGATTTTAGAACCACAGACACATGTTCAGTATAAGACTTTAGAACCACAGACACACGTTTAGTATAAGACTTTAGAACCACAGACACATGTTCAGAATAAGACTTTAGAACCACAGACACATGTTCAGAATAAGACCATAACGCTACATGTTTGCATTTGATTGAAGACACTCACCATTTCTCTCAAACTCAACATCTGGAGCTGGGACACAGAGTTGAGGCTTCTGAGTTGCGGGTATTGACGTGTTAGCTGGTGTTAGCTTGTTAGCTGATGTTTGCTTGTTAGCTGATGTCCGTGAAAATAGCGTCAATCCATCTTGTCAAACCACCTCCAGACTTTTCAGTTCTGTCCACTTTTACGGCTGGGATCTTTCATTTCACGGTAGTCACTTTTACGCTTCTAAACTTTTCTCTGCACTACGATGTTGCTGATGTACTCCTTCGTCCCCAGCGCTACCTTCGCTAACACTTAGCTATCTACACTCACTTGGGTGCACCATCGACCTCATACTGACCGCATCCGCAAACCGGGTCGAGACGGGTCGGACCTGGTCGGACCATAGATCCATACTCCACCCCGTGGAAACGGCCCTAATGTCCGCAAATGTCCATTTCTTGCAGATTGCCCCTCATCTGAACCGAGTCAGAGTCCTCAAAATCAGAATTACTGTCATAACAAGTACGCAAGGGCTCATAAATAAAAGCCCCTGACTTGTATTGTCCATCACTGAATGAAAAATATCTGTTTAAAACGTCTGTATACAACAATATGGCTTACAAATGCATATCAACAAAGCCCAATGACACCTATGTGTACGTCACTTCCGGTCTCGGCAATTTTTCCGCGAATGTCTTTTTGCATGATTATTATTGATAGTTTCACCCTTAGCAGTTTCTATCTGTCAAAATGAGTTTTATTTAACACAAAAAAATACCACAATATACGAACAAAATAAGATTAGGTCCCTTTTAACACTACTCTCAGTTTCTGTATTCATCAGCTATACAAAAATGGCACTTTGAATTGACACTGAGGCAGTTAAGAACATTCCAGATCTCAAAGTAATTTAAAACAACTTGTGTTTAAACTATTATACTTTTATCTATTGCCATTGTAACCGGGTGGTTCAGATGGTTCGTTAGCTTTGACATTTCGAACCAAAAACAGGAAACAGGTCAGGTGCATTAATAATAGGCATAATTTCACACATTAACACATTTATTTTAGCAGTTCTTTTTTTGTTGACAGGAGAACGAATAAAATATGTTACATTTCACATTTTCTTTAAAACAACGGTAGACAAGGCAGCCGTGCTCCAGCAGGCTCGTAACCCGCCTTCTCCAGCCACATCCAGGCTACTGAACCGGGGCAATGACGCTCGGTGAGGGGCCATGACGGCTGGTCCACACATTCCCGGGACGCTGCCAGACTGGGGACAGACTGCCACACCACGGACTACATTTCAATAAAAACGCTTTAGAACTCCCATAAAAGACATTATAATTTCTGTAAAATATTTACCTGGGAGCTCGGGAATGACGGGGACGAGGCAACACACAGGCAGGACCAGGAAGCAGGACAAGCGGCAGACGTGCAGTGCATAGCAGCTTTTATACCAGGCTACTGCCTGGTCAACTGAAAGTGCTACTACAAGCCCACATAGTCACACCATCATTCATAATGGCAAAAATAATGTAGTCCCAAAAACCTTCACTGTGTTTATTACAATGCATTATTCAGAGTTTCCACCATTTTGGCATTCTATTGGTTTTGGAAATCCCCGTCCCTTGACATGTAATTTAAGCCCATTTCCTTGCACGGTTGTACAGGATTGTTCTAGTCTCAACCTGTGGATAAAGCTTTCCTCACACCGACATCTTTCTTCAAATGCACATCCTATTTTTAAGGCTGTTTGTGCTGAGAGAGGATTAAGACAAGTCAACAATCCATAGTCTTTTCTAGTCTCCCCAATGGGTTCCTCACACAAGGCTGCATGAGGAGAAAAGACTTTGAGCTAGTCTCAAATTGCTGGAAGGAGGTAGTTTCACTGGAACAATGAGCAGGTGTACAGTGAGCTGCACAAGTCTTACACAGCTTTCACTGAGGGTTTAGAGTACAAAATTGCTTTAGCTTTCATCATTTCCTCAACATTGTTTTCTATTTTTTTTTTGTAATTTACCTGCCCAATACCAAAACAAAAACCTCTTATCATACCATCCATTGAGCCGATATACCCAGCCCGCATAATTTCCCTCCAGCTCACCTGGAAGTATCCTGAGGTGTTTCCAGGCCAGCTGATCAGCCATCAGAGCCTCCTCCCAGATTTTACAAATCAAAATTTGTTGGAGTCTCCAGATTTCATTTGTAATCTGTATTCATTGAGTATAAATTTGTCATCCTTCTGATTCATGGATACAAGGATGCAACTAGTGTAATTCAGATTTCCTTACTGCTCAAAATGTTATTGTCCTACCGAATCCCCTTCATTTGTTCCCAAGAGATGCAGAGCTCAACTACACAGCCATGTTGTAACTGCATATTCCAAACAAGCAGAATAATAGCTTATATTTCAGGGCCTGCTATAAGTTCTCAGCTCTATACCACCTCTCTTCTGCCTCCTCGCTGCCAGTCAAAGAGCATAGCAATTATTCCGCCTCTCCCTTCAAGCAATTTGGTTATGTTATGTATCTAAAAATACTATGTGGCGAGGGATTGTTTGTTTGTTTTATATGTGGAAAATAATGCAGCTAATAATCACAGACAGGCCGACTGGCTAATGACGTGATATGTTCACAGCGTGACAGAGCCGTAAATTGTGTTTCCAAAATACATCCACTGGACTTATGCTTTCAGAACAAAAACAATGAGGGTTGAGCATTAGTAATGATTATTTTTGAGTAAGTAGTGACCTTTTGCAGAGATGGTAGACGGTCATGAGTGAAAAGTAATGAACATGTAGTGTAAACATTCCTGAATTCATTTTTTATATGAACATTTTTATACTCAGTTGGTAGAGCTTTGGCCTTTGAGCCAGCAGGTCGTGGGTTCGACTCCCACTGTCTGCTGTCGCTGTGAACTTGGCAAGCCACTTAACATCTGGGAACACCAGCCACAGTGGGGCGGCTGCGGCTCTGAAGTGCCAAACTGCCGTTGTGTTCTTAGACAAGACACTTTACCCCCATTGCCTAGAATGAGTCCGGTGGAGGGGCCAATGGCACATACTGGTTGCCTCGCTTCTGTCAGTGTGCCCCAGGACAGCTGTGGCTACAGTAGTAGTTTATCACCAGCGTGTATGGCGTGAAAAAATAATGACATGTGAAGCGTCTTTGAATGTCCAAAAACCGCTATATAAAACGATTATTATTATTATTATTATTATTATTATTTTGTGTCATGATAGATAGATAGATACTTTATTGATCCCCCAAAGGAGAAATTCAGGTGTCCAGTAGTAGCAAAAATAAAAAATAAAATTGATCATTCTAGAAAAAAAAGATAACAATAGTAATAATCAGCCACATCCCTTCAGGTCACAGCAGCAGAGATGGAGTTTGCCTGGCCTGCCAGACACTCCTCCTTTCTGTTCAAAAGAAGAACCGTCTGGACACCTCTTCCTAGCCTATCATTTCACGATTTTACCCACATCGGTCCAATCACGCACAGAGAGGCGGGACTTCCTTTCACCTTTGAGTTGCTAATAACTCCTCGTATCTTTAAGTTTTTGTCACAAAATCGACAGCAGTCGTTTACATTTGCACTAGCTGACATGCCGCCATCCCTTGTTTTGTGTTTACTGAAACGGCTTGGGTGCCGCTAGTTGCTGCGTCATATCCTGTGTGCATCTAATTGGTTGATGCAGTCTGTCAACCACGCCCACTGGGAATTCGCTGAGATCAAGCTCGTTCCCAGACTATATGTCTTTGAAAAAGCATATCGTTTGGCAGGCCAGGCAAAGATGGAGTAGCCTCTCGGTGGAGCAGGACGGGTCAGAGCAGCAGAGGTGGAGTTGCCTCTCGGTGGAGCAGGATGGGTCACAGCAGCAGAGATGGAGTAGCCATTGGGTGGATCAGGATGGGTCGCAGCATCACAGATTGAGGAGCCTCTGGGTGGAGCAGGACGGGTCAAAGCAGCAGAGGTGGAGTAGCCTCTGGGTAGAGCAGGGCTGGTCAAAAGATGGAGTAGCCGCTTGCTTTGGACCATTTTCTCTGCTCTAGTCCAAAGTAAAATGCTAAATGCTTCATTAGCATTTTTCAAAAAGTCAGCATTCCTCCAGTGGATTTTCACCTGATCCGCTTGGTTTGGACCATGAATCCTCTCTGCTCCGGTCTGGACCAGTGCAAAACTTTGCACACTGTACTGAAGCAACATCTAAGGCAGAAAAAGCAAGAAAAATAAAAATTGTAAAGCACAAAACAACAACTGTTAATCAGAGCTACTAAGGACTTGCAGCCGTTACCCAGTGCATCTTTTAAAAAAAAGTGGTCGATTATCGTGAATAATAGTAAAATTGCAATATTTTCTCTCACAATAATTGTGACTGAAAAATTTGAAATCGTGGCAACCCTAGTCCCAAAAGAGCACGGATCAGTTGACAAAAATATGTGTATTGTTAGGTCAAAGCTACTAGTTTTGCCTGCCAACTGCACAACTGCTCTGGCTAGTGTGGACCAGCACATACCTTGAACCACTGAAGGCTTTTTATAGATGGCCACATGTGAATTCTGAAATTAAATTAGCTTTAGGGAATTACATCAAAGTCAAATTGGCCTACATATTAACACATTTTCATAGTAGTCAAACGCACACATGTTGGCAAATTCGCATGTGTGTTTTTACCGTGGACTCCAAGGTGATGGGGACAGAGGCCATCCCAGGGGGGAAAGGTACCTCTCGTTGACAAGGAGGCCTGTGCAGCCGTTTTTTTTGTCCCTGCAGCAAAATACATGCAGGGGAAAGTACAGAGGCTTTTCTTTTCTTTAGAAGCATGCCACAGAAAAGAAAATGGGGGTTTTATTTTGCAGAAACCCCAACTGTGAATCTGAAATGGAAAATGTGCCTCCTGCACTGACATGACAATGTTTTATTTCATACAAACTTACTTATTCCATGAACATAATGTATTTTAGCATGAATTATTATATCCATATGATATTACTGACCTGTGATTATGTGTGGCGCATTCAGTTTTTGGTAGTCATGAGCTGAGTGAGCGAGGTCGAAATCAACTGCTATGTCCAACCTCTTTTCAAACTGTGTACTGATGTTTCTTTTGCATCCTGTTTATTATTTTGTTTTTGTCTTTTTGTATACATAAGTTTGATGTTAACAATAACTACTTCTATCACATTTACCCCAACAAAAATAACTCTTAAGTGTAATCTAGGTATGAGTATAGACCTTTTATGTATTTTCTTGTTTCATTTTCTTAACAATAGAGCTCGACAATACAAAAAAATGGATACATGAAATATGCAAACAAATCCTTATCACAATAATTACAAATTAGAGAAAAGAAACTGAGAGCAGTGAAAATATATAATAATGTCCAACATGCATTGCACATCGATTTATTTGGGGAAGGATCATATCTAAACATATAGAGCAGTCCTTGACACCTCTTTCACATGTACTTATTTCCAATATTTTGCAGCTCTACTTCACAAGGATCTTAACAGTTTTGTTCTATTAAACTGCAATATTTACTAAACAACTAAGAGAACACAGTGCTAAGTATTAAGCAGGATGTGTTGATCCTAATAAGAATACCAGGTACCTGCAGATCCGCCCGCACTTCAGCCTAGTAATCCCCTGACATTATCTAATCAAATTGGGCTTTGTCCCCTAATCCCGCATTGCTGGTTCATGTCATAGGAGGTTTGAATAATATTTGTTAAAACGTTGAATCACAGAGACGCCTGGAGAAGACTCTCATTATTACGTTGGATCAGACACGAGCCCATATATGGATACCAGAGTATTGGCGTCATTATTTTGGATCACAGTGGTATGAGCAACGTACCGTTTAATTATGCTCTGCGGCTGTGGGAACGCTGTCCTACTATCAAACTGTCTCTATAACTCACATCTTTGTAATTGCTGCCAAGTTTGAACATGCACCCGAAAATACTATCCAAGAAACACTGTCTTCATAACTTTGATGAACCACCACCAAAGCTAGACCACCCTAATTTGAAATTGGCAAACAATACTGTACATTAAGTAGGATACATTGATCCGCTTGATTCAATGCGATCCCTGGTGGAGCTAAATCCTCACCAGCATTGATTTGAACTAGCGCTTTACCAGATACTAATGCCCATGTTTTTAATTGGATGAGAGTGTCTCCTTAAATTGAGCTAATGATTTTAGCAGGATCTAAAATGGTAATGTGATAGAGATCATTAAATTACTCTTAATTGTGGTAGTCCCAAGAGGAAGCAACAAACACCAAATGGGACATGTCTTATCCTTCATTGTAACTTGCAACCTCACATTTCAACTTTTGCGTTTTTTTGCATCTTGATTATAAAATGATGAATAAGGAAAGATGATACAAACATTCATAAAAAATTATATAAACCCCTTGTTAGTTGTGAAAACAGACTAGAGGATTAAATGAATGGTTTTTGATGTCATGTACTGAAAATACTGACAACTACACTTGAAAACAAATCCTCAGATTTCACAACGCAGCAAGTATTTGCTGAATAAACAAGCACAAGCCATGGTTTTAACCATGTTTGGTTAAAGTCAATCAGCCTTTATCCCAGAATATAGACCAAATGAGGAAGTGCAAGTGTAAAACATAAATCAGAGAAATGTGTTATGTTTATTTATAGTCAAAAATACCTTTGGGAGATTCACGGAAATGATCAGAAATCCATCTTGAAAAAGTGATATACGATGGCACGTTACGGCCAATCTATTTTTGCTCTCTGCTCATTTACCGGAATCCTTAGCGGCAGGTCGAGAGTAACACAAGTGCGAGGTGCTGACAGAAAGCAGATCTATAATGTCATCTTTCCTTTTCATATTTCCATCACAACTATGTAATTATGATTGGATTGCTGGCCCATTTCTCAGCAGTGGTAGTAATATGAGGCCAATGTTGAGGAGGTCAAAGGAAAGACGGTCTATGGACCAGTTGGGAGTGGAGCTGTGTGGTCTAACAGGCATCAGACAGTGAACCCTGTGTGTCCGGGCACCGCGCCAGCCCACTGTCTATCTTATTACACCTATCCGCCTCACATCCTGACACTTAGCTGTTTATTTTACATTTACAGCTTATGGTGCGCGCCTCTGCTGTAAATATGTATGCAGAATGTTCCTGTCTTATCAGCCTGAAGCAGGGGAGGACAGGCAAAGTCTTTTGAGAGGCCGAGTGTACCGCTATCAAAATATTTATATATATTGAAAATGCTATTTAGGAATGTTTAGGAATACCATGCTGGAGCAATATTTTCAGTTAATAGAAAGTGCATGAGCTTCTAGTAGCTTGAAGCCGTGGCATACTCTACTGTACTTAAAAACATATAAAGTGTAGTAGAGAACTTGATTCAATGATGCAACTAAGTACATGAAGTAACAGTGAAATAAATACACCATTTTGAAGTATCAAATTGTTACACAGTCATCTGCAGTTGACCATTTTGGACGATTTCTTCCCACACTGCTCCTTGTCCAGAACATCCCCTGGGAGACTGCTCCATTTTTAATGAAAGTCCACTGTTTGATCTGCCAATGTTTATCTTCTGTGATTCTAAGTGACACCGCACAGAGCTGTGAGCCTTCAGTGTATCTCAGCACAGGACAGTTTAATTCATTATGCTTGAACAGAGGTATGCCTGGGTTTGAGGGGTTCATTGTGGAGATCTGTCAGGTTCTCCCCTACTCTTCTTGTTCAAAAGCTTTACATCTTTTCTGCTTTCTGCACTCGGGGGAAATATGGACTGATAGAGTTGCTGCAGGAAATAGAACAATGTGGAACAAGACGTTTAATGGAAAGTTTGCCATATTCTATAAAGATATCTATTCTTACTGGCTTTTAGATTTACCGAAGAGGAAACCATAAATTTTACCCGTGTGTGCCAAATCAGGATTTGATCCTAGTATATTCAACTTATTTCCCGTGAGAGTGTCTCCTTAAATTGAGCTAGGATATTTTTCGTGGGCTGGATCTCAGATTATTTTTTTTTATCTTGTATTGCGGACTATATTAAACACAATATTGTCAATAACTTTTGTTGGTAAGTAAGTATTAAAAAAAAAAATATTCAATGAAACTTGAACGGAAGCTTAAACCAGAAAATTTACTTTATGGGAGATGAGCTGTAAACCGAGACAGCAGATTGACAAAGCCTGATTTTCCTGATCTGTCCATCGAACCCTCAAGCTTAACACCTGAGCCAGACAGAGGTTTCATTTTAATAAAAGTGAGATCTCTTTAATAATAGCACCACGACTCATATGTATATGAAGATAATGTATCAAATGCCTTGGAAGTAAATCCAGACAATATGCTATGTTTATGCCACAGGGAAACTCTCTTTGTAGTTTCTCCTGTCTGCATGTACATGTTTTCACTGGTGAAATGGTGATGTGGGAATAAGTTTCATCAAATTAAAGACACCGACATTGAGTATTTCCAGGACACCAGTGTATCTAATGACTACAGCTGATCCATATCGGTCTCTGCTCCATCCCAAGAGAGAACACAAATAACAAATATGGAGAGGGAACATAATTACTCCTACCACCAGAGATACACAAGCACGTGCCTCTAGATTTCATGCCCTCACTGCACAAACATGTAGGTGTATAAGCCATGTTTCTCCTTGTATCTTAATCCCCAACAGCCCCCCGAGGAGTTTAACACTATCCTTTGCTGTGGATTTTGAATGCATTAAAGCTCTGTATAAAAGCACGTTGCAAAACATTATGACCAGCTGAATGAAATATATTTGTCTTTTTCAATTTCAAAAAAGAAACTCAGTAGAATATTGTCTGTAAATCTGGTCCAGCGATTGCTCGTGCTCCTCTTACTGTTAAGTGTGACGTGGACACCTCGGAATAAACAATGTCAATAAATGCGATAACACATTGACAATAAGATAAGGATATAATTTGTTCATTGAAAAAGTGTATAGGTGAAAGCAGATCAACACAATTCTAAATAGTGGTTGAAACACAATGTTATCAATCAATCATGATCAATCAAGATGTTTTTTTAGAACGTGAAAAACGCAAAACCTCTTACATGTTCAGAAAAGGTGATGGATGAAGCACAAACATAACCTGGTCTTACCACACCATTGTACAAATTTCATTGTGTACTAAGGTCTGAATTTGCTTCATATAGCTTTGAAAAGTTTGCCGCGACGTATGTAATGCACCCGAGTTTGTCGCTAGCATTTAGCATTAAGCCTAGCATCTCCTTTGCCACAAACAGAGCCTGTGGGGATAGGACCACAACATCTTCGCCAGCCATGACATCTTCTAAACATTCCTCTTACTCCGGCTTCCATTTCTTGATATTAGGGAGCCGAATCAAATATTAACAACGATTACAACATAGTCTTTGCCTATCAAAACATATTAAAAAGCAGTTTTGTAAGTCCTGCAGACATTTGTACTTTCATTCCAAACATGTGAATATGTGTATGTTAAAATTGTCACTGTGAACTGTGCATTATATTTGCTTCATTTATCACAGCTTGAAAGAAGCAGACCAGTTAGTTTGGTTGACCTTTGGTTTGTGACAAAGAAGGCTATTAAGCTACGGGTGCCACTGCATACTGTGCAAAGCAGATCTTGGTATTACAGTGTTTTGGAGTTCCTCCACAAGTAAATAAGCTGTCATTTGGATAAAGCGGGTGTCATATCT